GAATTTATTTTTGGATTGTACATTGGACTGTTATTATGGACGGTGTTGTTTGGATTGTTATTATGGACTGCATTTTACGATTGTCATTGTTACAACTATTTTTGGCTTGTTATTATTGAATGTGTTTTTTTTTATTGTTATGTTATCGACTATTTATTTGAGGTCGCAATGCAACATTAATAATATTAACAATTCATCAAACAATGACAAATCACAAATCAGGTTTAATTGAAATAACAATGTAACATTTAATTGACATAATAATGGATCATTAAGTGACATAGTAATGCATCACATATCACAAATTAGCTTCACGATTAGGACACGACCTGCGATTGTGCCCAAGTTGCTTGCAAAGACCACATTTAGTGCGTGCTTGAACAGTTTCAATCTCATCCATCTCGTTGCATATTCTGGTCAACTTTGGATGGCTCTTTGCACACAACATATTCCTATCAAGTATGACCACTAGACTTATACTTAGTAGAATAGCTTGCTCATTGCTGATTGGCTCCCATGGAAATGAGTACGCATTAACCAATTTCGTTGTCTTGAACACATCATCCACATATTAACGAGGGTTCCGACGAATGTGTAAGGCCGCAGTTATGGCGTGACTATATGGATATTTAAATGCTTTAAATTGTCTACATTGGCATGACCGCTCTCGAAGGTTGACAAAATACGACCTTTTCCACCCTGCATCAACCTCAAATACAGTTTCTTCAACATTATAGATACGAACATTATGCATTATAGCCACAGACTCATTATGTGTCAACGAGTCAATCACATTTTTGCAATAATTATGATCAGATTGAACTTGTTGAGATGCCGATTGAACTCTTTGCGCGAAATAATGAACCAATCTACTATAGATGTGCTTAACCAATCCAGTAATTGGCATGTTTCTTGCCCCCTTTAACACCCTATTTACGGACTGTGACATGTTTGTTGTCATATGCCCATATCGTCGTCCTTCAACGTCATGTGCACGCGACCACTTTTTCTTTGGAATGCCATCAATCCAATCCGCAACCTGAGAACTGGTGTCACGAATTCGTGCAAGCGCTCTCTCAAAATCCAACATACAAGGAGCATATCCTGCCAACAATAAAACCAATAAGACATGAAAATTAACAAATGCATTCAAATTGAAGACTCGGGTTGTACACCATACCTATATTCATCAATGCTGCCTTCAATTTGTCATTTCTAAACCGTTGATTAAAATTGCTAGCAATATGTCGAAGGCAATACACATTAAACGCATGCGGTGGCAGCCAACCAGGATGATTCTCTACAGCTAATAATATGCTAGGATGCCAATATGAAATGAGACATATTTTTCACCTGTGTAACATGCATGCAAAGATTGGCAAGGAAGTATGACCAAGCGTTCAATATCTCACCATCAACAATGGAAAATGCAAGTGGCAAACATTCATTATTTCCATCCTGAGTCGTGGCAATCAACAACTTTCCCTTATATTTTTCGTATAAATGAGAGCCATCAATTTGTATCATTGGTTTGCAAAAATTAAATGCCTCACAACAGTGTCTGAAAGTCCAAAAAATGCGATGGAATACGCATTTTTCGGGGACCAGTCCCCCCCACAAAACAATCCTTTGTTTGAATATTATAAAAGGAACCTAGTGAAAAACGAAGCATATATTCACACCACCTGAGTAAATATGCATACGATTCCTCCCAATCACCATACAACATTGCCATTGCTTTCTGCTTCGCATACCATGCCTTTCTATATGAAACTTTAAATCCATAAGAATGAGTGATCCTCTCTTGAACCAGTGCAGTTGAGACTGATGGTTTCTTTTTTATCGTCTCTAACAAACAAATTGTAATATACAGATTAAACCAAACACAGGTATATGAACCAATTTTTAAATATATCATAATATTCTGAAATAACGTACCTACTGTAAGTGATGCAATCATGTCAGAATTAAGTTGTCTATGATCTTGAGAAATATGGTCATTCAAGCAATTGTGATCACCACCCCATTTTCGCAACCTTCCAATTTTCACCATATGTTGGTTTAATTACCATGAGCCCTCCATGGGCAACCCTGCTAATGCGTGCAACATTTCATGCTTAACTTTGTAGGTGTGCTCTCAACAACAATCGCTTCTTGACGCTCCTTCATGAGGTTGCGCTTGATTGCCATCTGAGCCTCTTTTTTGGATGTAAATTTCTGGTTAACAAACAACTTCCCCCCTAATTGCCATGGACCTTGGATTGAACCCAAACTCTGGCTATATGATTTTTGCTCACTTTGATGATCCCAATCAATATATGTGCAATGTGGAATTTCATCCCAAAAAGGAGTAACAACATCATCATCTGCGTGTACTAAGTAATAATAGTAACAAGAAGAATTAATTACATCAACAAAACCATATATGCATATATGAGTTGTTTCTTAACATACCTTCAGGATGTTGTGCTATTTGACTCAAGGCCATGTCATAATGTCCTACGATTCAAGACTCCTCCAAATCATGCCATGGCTGGATTTGAGTAGCTGACCTGTCACATTCTTTGTCATTGTCCGAAGCACTTGCATCTCTGCAAGAAAATGTCCTCCATTGCGATATTTTCCTCATCGTCGTCGTCATAGTCTTCATCCATAACCCAGGTAGGGTCATGTTCATCTTCCTCAGACATGTTAAACTGGAGCAACATATGAGAATGCATTATGAGGAGAATTTCAAGCAACTAACCTCATTGGTAACATAACATCCTCCGCTCTGGCAGTATCCACGTACAACTCTAAGAAATCTTTTCTAGTCTGGTTCAAGAATTCTTCCATTACCATATCTACGTCTTCGTCATCCACCACTTGCAAACTAATGTATTGTTCAGATTGTCATAATCTTGTCGTGACTAGAGTGATCGATTGGTTATCTTCGAGACATAATTTTTGGCGAATTTTTTGATGCAGTTCCTCAACGGTTGAGTTTCGCTTAATATGTGGTGGCCTTTTCTCGCCTACAAAAATAACACCGCGACGACCTTCCACTTTCCTACCATTATAATATAGAACAACACGAATAAAATAAGAATTTGAACTCATTCTTAAAAATAATAATGAAAAATAGAAAATAGAATATGAATAAACAAGTGCAAAATGAATGTAGGAGTATATGTATAATGCTTGAGAAGAGTTGTGAAGAGTGTAAAGAGGAGAAGGGTTTAAATAGGATAGAAATGAGCCACTCACACTCTGATTGAGTAGGTTTGCCACGTGGAACACGCCCCACATGGGCGTGTCTCTCTACTTAAACATGCCCCTTGTGGGCGTGTCTCTCCCATCTAGGTCACGCCTCTTTTGGCATGTCTCTCTCCTAGCTCACGCCATCTGTGGGCATGTCTCTCTCCAGATGGTCACACCCCCTAGGGAGAGTTTGGGTGTTATACTTGGGTAAATACATTCAAAACAACTACATTTGTGTAATTTGTTATTAAAAAAGTAATATTTAAATTTTTTTTGCCATGTGATTGCTCTTTTCGTGCACCACATAGATAAGGTAAGTTTTGGCATGTCAATTATGGAAAAAAATAAGTTTACAAATTTTTTTTACAAATTTTTCTAAATTATATTATCTACTCCCGGAAGTATATAGTATAACCTAGTGTACTTTCGAAAATACATCGTGTAGTTTGTAAACAAAAAATTTGTAAATATAACCCTCCTCATCAATTATTATATAAACGAGCGCGCTTAATTTCTTTGACTATAGTGCTTTTCTAGAAGTGTACATTTTCCAACTAGATTTTTGTCTTTTTAAAGTGATATTTTAGAAGAATTTTTAAAAATTCATCTAAACTAGTCTATGATGGTGGCTCATCAAGTATATTCACATTTTTATTCTATGAAGAAGCTTTCTCTCCATTATACTCAACAGTCAATACAACATTTTACCTTAAAAAAAGTCAAAACAGTAGAGTTTCAGTGGACATGACTCACATGAGTAACTCATAGTCAATAATGGTTTCTAAGTAATATATAAAAGGGTTTTATTAGTGTTATGTAACATAATGTAAGTGTTGTTTTCAACTCTCACATCAAAAGGGAGAGAGAAAGTGGAATGATGAAAGAGAAAGAAAAACATGTGGACCCCACCTCTTTAATGTGTGTGTAGGAAAGTGAAGTTATATTATGTTAAATGATAAGCATAAAACCCTATATAAAATATGGTTTTATTTTAATTTAACGTTGCTGTATCATTTTTGCACATTATCATGCAATGCGTTCGGGACCGGTCGGATTGTTTTGCCCAGCTGGTTTTAATGGTCACCCAACAAGGACGTACATCATCACCACTTAACACATAGGTACATCGTGTACTTTCACTTTCACATTTCCAACCCACGTATGATCTTTATATGTTAAATATCATGCAGCCTCATACCGTAACAGAACCCACATGGCCACAAACTATTTTGGCATAACACCTTATGTGGAGGTAGTGTTTGGTTGAAGGTTTATTTTAGGATTAATGGGAAAGTGTAGGTGGATATTGGAAAATACCACGTTTGATTCAGGTTTTTTCAAGAAATACCAGACAAATAGGATAGATGGGAAAATGACTTTTGTGTTGATTTTTAGATAAAATTCACTGTTATAGAATACCACTTGAGATGTGGTATTGTGAGATGACTGGGGAAGTGAAAAAATAGGTGTAAAGTTTCTCCCGAACATAGATTTTGCATATTTAAATAAATTTCCCTGGTAATTTTTGGGTCAACCAAATAACTTTTTTTACATTTTCCTATCAAACTCACTTTCCAATCATTTTCCTATCAATTACATTTCTTTAGTAAATTTTTTTTTCCCAAACCAAACACTAGCTAAAGGGAATCTCCTTCACCCTATACATAAAGACTTTCTCCTCACCTTAGATTCATCTTCTTCATTTCTCAGTATTTGGATTACTCGACAGAATTCACCCCTCAAGTCATAACTGAGCCCAAAATACACTTCCTCCTCCCACTCTCAACTAGTCTAAGACACACTTCCCGTTCCACCCTCAGCTAGCCTTAAACGGTAAGTCTTAAGAACTCTAATCTATACCACTGCTTTTGCAATTTTCATTACCCACCCATTCTGAATACATATTCTCATTCTCATTCTCTCACAAGTTCATAATGAATATATTATGATATCATTACAAAAATTTGATTACAACAATAAATATTAAATATCAATCTTGAGATAACCTAAATCAATAATTCGCAGGGGAAATGCAATGTCATTGCTTTTAGGAAGCTGATGCACTTTGAATGATGGCATCCCAATAAACATCATCCCATTCATCTCTATATTTTTCGCTATTTTCGATAAAATTCTTAAAGCACTCTGCATACATATTCTCCCTCCAATCTTCCAACGGAGGCATCCCAATTTGTTCAACTAGCCAGGGCTTGTAGTCAACCTGCGAGAGTCATTTTCAAATAAGTAAATTCAAAAAAGTAAAGCTACCCTAACCTTAAAGAAAGGTCACATTTATAATTGGGTATAACTATTCCATTGCTATCACATACCTGAAATGGACGAAGGGAATGAGTGTAACGCTTGGGCAACCCATTTTCCTCCATAAATTTGTAGTAGTCTTTAACAGATTCCGTCATCTCTTCTTCCGTAGGTAAGCGAACCTTACCAGATAAAACCTTTGCAACCCATTTGGATTGCAACTCATATACATGAAAAACAGCATCCTGGCCAGCAAGTTATAATTAACCTTAATTATTTCAATAAATTATATTTATCATTCTAAATCATTAATGTTTGGCTTGAAAAATTCTATATTAATATAAAATACTTCTTCACCCAAAAAAATTAAAAAAAAAAAAAAAAATTCTGATAATAACCTTATAGGGTAAACCAATGAAAGAGAGCCATGGAGCCAATGCGGGAGGAAATATATGTTTGTATAGTGGACCAACGCGATTATCATCAACGGTTACAATTCCATTGGTTTCAAGGAATGGAAGGCGGTACTTGTATCTGTCATATTCCATAAAATCATTAACTACATCGATAATCATTGTTTATAACAATTAAAAATGTTGATGGCAAGCAAGGATATCTAGAAAATAAATAAATAAAATGTATGAAACTTTATGATTGTACCCTACCCTGTACAGTGGATTATTGCATCTGCATGTACAGAGAATCCATCTTCAAAGGCAACCAAGCCATCTTCATTTACACATTTGATCTGTCAAAAAGACATGATGAGAATCAGCAATATCAATCAAATTATCATATTCTTAGGAAATAATGTATAAAATGTCAAGTACTCAAATTATTTAAATTAAGGGGGTTAAATAATAATGTTTTGGGCTGGAGTTTGAAAAATTCATTTAATAAACGACCAAATCAAATTAAAAAGTTACTAAGAAGCTGCGTTCATAATAATTTTTTACATACCATAGTATGGACGCTTATATTGGCATTGCCATTATTTTTCAACTTCATACCCATTAAATCTGGATTCGGTTTTGCTGCTACATGAACTTCCTTTGCTACTGTTGCAATCTCTCTTGAGATATCAAAGGAACTAGGCCCAAACCCAATTAAAATCACAACCTGTTTAGCAGATGTTATCAATGATTTATGTAAATTAAATAAAATATATTGCATTAAACTGATTTTTCTTTAATTATCTATTAACTAATAATCGAGTTGATTATAACCAAACATATTTCCACTATCAATTTGTAAAAGAGAAATATTATTTAAAGAAAAAAATATTTCTTATTTTAAAAGATATATAATTGTGTTATTTTAAGAGAGAGAAAGACACAACATATTATATTTTTAGTTAAAATTTAAATTAAAAAACATTCACTTTCTTTCTCATAATTGTATTACTTATATCATTCTTTCATTTAAAATCACGAAACTTTCCTTTGAAAATACAAAATAGCATAAAGAAATGCGTTTGAAAAGTAGCAAAAAGAGCAATATACGTATAACTGGGCTATTTGACCATTTTACCCCTCATTAATTAATTAATAATCATTTTGCTCCTGATTCGAAATTATCTACCAATCTGTCTCTCTTTAATTGACTACCTTGCATTTTTAATCGACTAAATGGTTGTTGGGAGATTTAATCGACTAAATCTCCCTACTTAATCGATTAAAAAATCATACTGACTTGTTTTTCTTTGTTGTCTGTTGGAAGATTTAGTCGATTAAATAGGGAGATTTAGTCGATTAAATCTCCCAACAGCCATTTTTGCCTGTTTTGACCATTTAGTCGATTAAAAATGCAAGGTAGTCGATTAAAGACGGGCAGATTGATAAATAGTTCGAATCAGGGGCAAAATAGTTATTAATTAATTAATAAGGACAAAAGGGTGAAAAAGCCCATACAACTGTGATCAATGAAATACGGTGGAGGATCCATTTACCACCACTAAAGTATATCACTTTTATAATTAACTTGATCACCGTTGGATTAAAATTAAATCCAATGACTCAAATAAATCCTTATAATCAGGCAAGCAAGAGAATGGCTTGTCCAAATTCTGCTTGAACATTGCTGGAAATACCCCATCCTCGAACCGCCTCTTTGATGCCATAGTAAGCCACTGTGTTCCTGTGATCATAGTAAGCCACTATTGCTCCTATTTTTTCCTCGGGGAATTGGTGATAATTAATTACATGATTTTTGGATTTCATGGTCAAATTTGTGAATCATGTTCCTTTGTACACTTCAATTAGAAATTTTCAATACGATGAATCATGAGTACACCACCTAATTATAATAATAATATATAAAATCAGCTTTAAATCGGAGTAAAATATTAACGTGTGATTTTTGTTTTTATTACCCAATCCAAGTTTCTAATTTACTTTCACTTGTTCAACGTTTGTTCAGAACCCTAGAAAAAAAAGAGATCAATTACGGACGACTTAGAGAGAATTGTAAGAGGAGGAGAGAAGGTGTGAGAGAATAAAAAATAGAAAATTAGGATTATAAAGATTTATCGTAAGTTATTAGATTTAATTTTAATTCAACATTAATCAAATTATTTATAAAAGTGATATACTTTAATGATGGTAATTAGTGAATTCTCCCTTGTGAATATAAGTTTTAGTCATAAATTGAAATAATTTTTCATATTATAATTTTATTTTATTAAATTGCTTTATATCGTTTTCAAAGTACCAAAATTTTGTGTACCTGATCCTTGAAAGGTTGAGGCACTCTGTAGTTGTGGGAATGCATTTGAAACCCACGCCACATTTTAATTCCCGGAACCTCACCGAGTTTCGGTTCTGCGAAGTGACCCGAACACACAACAACCGCTTCAAACACCTCTCGACTCACTGAGTCACCGCCCCGAGTCGATTTCGACTCAACCATCCACTCGTTCCCCTTTCCCTCCACCTTCACCACCTCCGTTTCGAACCGGGTCAAACTGTGGATCCCGAACTCGTTCGCAAACTCATCCAGAAAACGGAGCACCTCCTCGTGACCCGGGAACGTTCTCTGGTCGCCCGATTCGCGCTTCGCCAAAGGGTAATCCAAGAACCCCATGAGCTGCCTCGGAAGATTTGTGCGCAACGATAGGTAGAGGCTGCTGTGCACGGTTTCTCGGGTTGGGTCTATGCTAAGTGGGTCGGATTCCGTTTTCGGGTCGTAAACCCAGGTGCCTCCGACGTGGTGATTCTTCTCGAAAACGACAACGTCGTGGCCTTCCCTTTGAAGCTCTCGGGCGGCGACGAGGCCGGAGACACCTGCTCCGATCACCGCAACTTTCACCGACCGAGCCATTGAAAAATGGCGTTGACGTTTAATGATGAGATGGAAATGGATTTGATCAAAACTCAGAAACACTTCTCAATATATAATGTAAGTTTTGGCATGTCAATTATTATATAAATGGGCGCGTTTAATTTCCAATTAGATTTTTGTCTTTTTAAAATAATATTTTAGAAGAACTTTTAAAAATTCATCTAAACTATTCTATGATGGTGGCTCATCAAGTATATTCACATTTTTATTCTATGAAGGAGTTTTCTCTCCATTATACTCAAAAGTCAAAACAGCATTTTACCTTAAAAAAAGTGAAAACAGGAGAGTTTTCAGTGGACATGACTCACATGAGTAGCTTATAGTCAATAATGGTTTTTTACTATTATCGGTTTATAAATTTTTTTTATAAATATTTATAAATTACACTATACATTTTTGAAAGTATATACTATATAGTATTATATTCTAATGTATTTTTGGAAGGAAGTATATAATGTAGTTTATAAATAAAAAATTTATAAATATAATATTTCTCGTAAAATAATATATAAAATATGGTTTTATTTTAATTTAACGTTGCTGTATAATTTTTGCACATTATCATGTAATGCGTTCTGGACAGGTCGGGTTGTCTTGCCCAGCTAGTTTTAATGGTCACCCGACAAGGACATCATCACCACTTAACACAGAGAGTATATCATGTACTTGTTGGAATTAATTTAAATTACTTATTTTTAAGAATAAGAAATTTGATTTAAAAAGATGTGTCGTTTCATCGATGAACGAATGTGTTGTTTCATCCTTGAATATATATATATATATATATATATATATATATATATATATATATATCTTTTCAATATGACCTTACGTTTTCTATAAATAGATAAACAATCAGAATTTTAGAGTTAAGTTTAGTTTTTTTTTTCTTTGCATTACATTCCATTATTCTAGTGCGATTGGTTAGACATATGTTGAGTTTGATGATGTTATTATATGTGGAAGAGCTATCACAAGAATATATGTAATTCGTTCTATCCTAGGAGACAATTATCCACAAATTTTGGACACCAATATTGTCTTAAGGAGACGGTGTCTAACACTATGCTCGAATTTTTTCTTGTTATACTCACATATTTTCATTACGTTTTAATTTTAAGTTATTGCATGTTTCAATTTTTTATGTATACTTCGTGAAACTATATGCATTGTGAAAGTGATTTTTGTAACACATTATTCTCAATAATTTTATCATTATTTTTTCTAACACTACTTTCACATTTCCCACTCACGTATGATCTTTATATGTTAAAGATCTTGCAACCTCACACCATAACAGAGCCCACATGGCCACAAACTATTATGGCATCACACCTTATGTGCTTAGAAGGAATCTCCTTCACCCGACATAGAGGCCTTCTCCTCACCTTAGATTCATCGTCTTAATTGCTCATTATTGGGATTACTCGACATAATTCACCCCTCAAGTCATAACCTTAGACCGTAAGTCTTAAGAACTCTAATCTATACCACTGCTTTTGCAGTTTTCATTACCCACCCTTTCTGAATACATATTCTCATTCTCATTCTCTCACGAGTTCATAATGAATAATATATTGATATCATTAAAAAAATTTGATTACAAAATAAATATTAAATATCAATCTTGAGAGAACCTAAATCAATAATTCGCAGGGGAAATGCAACGTCATTGCTTTTAGGAAGCTGATGCACTTTGAATGATGGCATCCCAATAAACATCATCCCATTCATCTCTGAATTTTTCGTTATTTTCGAGAAAATTCTTAAAGCACTCTGCAAACATATTCTCACTCCAATCTACCAACGGAGGCATCCCAATTTGTTCAACTAGCCAGTACTTGTAGTCAACCTGCCAGAGTCATTTTCAAAATAAGTAAATTCAGAAAAGTAAAGCTACCCTAACCTTAAAAAATGTCACATTTATACTTGGGTATAACCATGGTTGTTGATGTTGTTAAAAACTAGTGTAAAAATATAAACTTATCATTTTTATTAAGGTGATACGTCTTAAAACACAAGTAAAAATTCTCCTTAGTAAAAAATGGTAAAAACTACGTGTAAAAACGTAAAAACGATTGAAACACAAGTTTTTACGTTTTAACTTAAACAAAAAAATCAAACCAGATCAACTTTTAACCCATGACTGGTTTTATTTTTATATTTTTAATAAAATAAAATAAAATAAACACTATTTTCATTCTCCAAATCAAATGCACAGTAACTTCTTCGAACTATTTGAAAAAAAAAGAATCCTCGCAAAAAGAATCTTCACGCGAGGCCGTTGTATTTCTATTTAAGAGTTATTAAACTTTATTCTTTTGATGTTATGGAATTTGGTTATAGGAGTTGTTAAACTTTTTTTTGTGTTTTTGGACTTATGTCTTATATAGTTTATATAATTATGTAACTTGTATATTTTAAATATGAAGTTATTCATTGAATTTTGAGTAGTGACTTATATGATTTTTTTTTTTACATGCATATATATATATATATATATATATATATATATATATATATATATATATATATATATATATATATATATATATATATATATATATATATATATATATGGGGTAGGATCTTTTGACACCGGTGTCAAATTTAAAGTTTGACACCTTATCTAATAGCCGTTAGATCAAAAAAGATCAACGACTCTGATTTGTAAGCATGTGACACCATTGATCTTTTTTGAACTAACGGCTCGCAGATGAGATGTCAAATTTCAAATTTGACACCGGTGTTAAAGGATCTTGCCTCTATATATATATATATATATATATATAACTTTGTATCTTGAAACGTAAAAACTTTACGTTTCGTGAGATTTTTACGATTTACGTTTCTATCACTCCCTTCTATTTTTAGGTAGAAACTCTATTTTGAGAACATTGGATATAACTATTCCATTGCTATCACATACCTGAAATGGACGAAGGGAATGAGTGTAACGCTTGGGCAACCCATTTTCCTCCATGAGTTTGTAGTAGTCTTTAACAGATTCCGTCATCTCTTCTTCCGTAGGTAAGTGAACCTTACCAGATAAAACCTTTGCAACCCATTTGGATTGCAACTCAGATACATGAAAAACAGCATCCTGGCCCAGCAAGTTATAATTAACCTTAATTATTTCAATAAATTATATATATATATATATATATATATATATATATATATATATATATATATATATCACTCTAAATCATTAATATTTGGCTTGAAAAATTCTATATTAATAAAAAATAATTCTTCACCCAAAAAAAATTAAAAAAATAATAAATTCTGATAATAACCTTATAGGGTAAACCAATGAAAGAGAGCCATGGAGCCAATGCAGGAGGAAAGACATGTTTGTATAGTGGACCAACGCGATTATCATCAACGGTTACTATTCCATTGGTTTCAAGGAATGGAAGGTGATACTTGTATCTGTCATATTCCATGAAATCATTAACTACATAGATAATCATTTTTTATTTTATTTTAATAGATAGATAATCATTTTTCATATCAATCAAAAATGTAAATATGGCAAGGAAGGATATCTGGAAAGTGGAAAGTGACAAAATGTATGAAACTTTCTGATTGTACCCTGTGCAGTGGATTATGGCATCTGCATGTATAGAGAATCCATCTTCAAAGGCAACCAAGCCATCTTTATCTACACATTTTATCTAGCAAAAAGATATAATGAGAATCACCAATATCATATTCTTAAGAAAGTAATGTATATAAATATAATGTAAAGTACTCAAATTATTTTAATTAATTAAGTGGGTTAAATAATAATGTTTTAACCTGGAGTTTGAAAAATTCATTTAATAAATGACAAAAATAAATTAAAAAGTTACTAAGAAGCTGTGTTCATAATAATATTTTACATACCATAGTATGAAAGCTTATATTGCCATTATTTTTCAACTTCATACCCATTAAATCTGGATTCAGTTTTGCTGCTACATGAACTTCCTTTGCTACTGTTGCAATATCTCTTGAGATATCAAACGAACTATTCGATACAGATGTGGAGACTAGGATTTTAAATTCTTTCCTTTAATAATAAGGATGAAACATATACTTTCACCTTATTTTTTTAATACCAACTGAGCTGTTGTCTGTTTGCTTGTGACCAGAAAGGGTATTTGTTGACTTGCAAGTTGCATGGATACCATTATTTAGGACTGAAAATTTGGGTTGATAACACACATTATGACACAATACATATATGAATGCATGACACAAATTTAAAGAGGTTAGAATACAAATCCCTTGACATAACATGATATATGAATAATATGTCAATCTCAGTATATTAAAGGTTGTTTTCACCAATGGGGTGAAATCCCCTGCATTAATATTTATTTTCTCTAATATTGCTCTTCTTAGCCAACATGCTGGCATGGCATACCAACAATCTAACAAGCATTCACCAGGATCAATCAAGAGCTAGAGCTGTTATATGTGGCCATGACTCATGCACATTGATAGAGCAGAGTTGCTCTGAGAATTAAAACAAGACTAAAAAAGGGTTATTATTTCTGATATCGGTTTCCTTACATCAAAACTCTATTTATAGGAAGCACGTTCCTAACAGCTTATTGACTCTATTTATGCAGCTATACAATTACATCAGCTCTCAATTATATTACAATATCCAATATCACTACTTATCTATTAAGCTACTGTTGAAC